CTTTTTTTTTTTTTTGCCCCCCATTTAGATATTTTAGGCAACTGGATTTTATTTTTAAATTTGGGTTTTCTAGTTACCGTAATTTCTGGAGGACGCAATCCACTTAGAAAAAAAAAGGAATTGTACATATATAGGCCGCAGTTCTCTATAATCCAGAGGTCTCCACAAATATTTTTTTTCACTTTTAATTAAATACATTTTTTTTTTTTTCGACCAGTGTCTGTAACACGGCTGGTTACACGTTAGCTCTTTCCTGCTTTGGCGCCACGACCGTAGCTGGAATGGACAGGGGGAGACTTAGTGCTCTGCTCCAGGGCCGAAGCTAACATTAGCTCCTGGGCTAACTCCCTTCAACTTGTGCTTATCCACAGCAGAGGTAAACAGAAACATGGACATTTTCGCTACCGTTCTCTCTCTCTCTTGCGCGCCCCACGCACATATACGCACACAGCCATTCACAGACAGACATACGCTACTAGCATAACACACAGTAGCCTACCAGAAAAGTCATTAATCGCTAGTGATATGAACTCCGTTAGCCGATAAAAATCCATTAATTAGCCAAATCATTGTTTAAGCCGGATAGTTCAAAGCTTGTGGGGAAAAAGTAGCAGCTTGAAGTCTGGAAATTACAGTAGTGTAGTTTATTTTTTTTTTATTGCAGCTATAACTTCCACTTAAAAAACTCAGTTTCTCGAACAGAGAAGTCTTATTTCTTCTTCTCAGCATCATGTGTCTATTTGCTCAGGCTAAGGAGGCTGAATATGAGTTACATCCACGCATATCTTTTTTTTTTTTTTTTTTCTTTTCTATTAAGAGCTAAAGCCAAAATCTGGAGCCCTAATCCCTTTCAATACAAACTTGTTTTCATGTCAGGAAGAGGAAACCACTGCCATAATCACCCACCTCCATCACTCCTCTCTCTTTATGCTCCAACCATCAGCATCCACCACCACCACCACCACCACCAGCAGCTTCTCCCTGATTATCAAATTTCCCACAGATCCTCTGCCATCTGCTGGATTATAGATCTGACTCTTCCTTCACAGAGGGCCCTTGGCCCTAAGGGAGGATCAGTGGTAGAAAAGGGTGAAGGAGTGCCCGAGGCGCTGCCTCGACTCTGGATCTGATTTCATTTTTCTATTTCTGCCCTGTTTAAATTGGATCTGCCGCCGTGAATACAAGGACCCGGTACTGATTAATATCAACCTCCTGCTCCTTTGCACCCTCGAATTATACACAATCAAACGTGATGGAGGGGAACCTGAGTGACCAATAAGCTGCCATGTTTTTTCTGCTCTCGTGTCAGTCATCAATTCAAGCCGAAAAGTTTGCTTGTAAAACGCAAATACAAAAAGGGTTTTCTTGGCAGAAAATAGTACCAGGAACAAAGGACAAAATCAACTCCACTCCACTCTCTCCACTAATTGACAGTAGTTACATATATATATATGCATATATATATATATGTAAATATATATATATATGTATATATATATATATATATATATCAACTCCACTCCACTCTCTCCACTAATTGACAGTAGTTACATATATATATGCATATATATATATATGTATATATATATATATATATATAGATAGATAGATAGATATATGCAT